TTATAAATACGTATGTCAAGTTATATTTTTATTACTACGTAAAATATATTTAAGAGTTTACGACCACTGTGCCGGGTGAGACGTTGTTGAAACAAAAAAAGTTATGCATTCCATCACGTACATAAACAGTGTCGTAATTCGCCAAGTGCAAATCAGCAAATTCGTAAAATTTTTGTTTATTTTGAACAATCCGGATAATCGAAAATCCGGATAATGGAGGTCCGGATAATGGAGGTTCTACTGTATTTTTATTTGTAATAGGAATTTATTATTGATATGAATTTATTATTATATGCCTTGATTAACCTTGCGCCGTACGTTTACAACATCCCGTAACTCACGTCGCGCATTGACTCACGGGAAATTTGTTGAAAAAATGGCGGATACATTTAACATCGAGGGTTACAACCGAAGATAAATAAACAAGTTAAACTATTTTAAAGTTTTATAGAATGTTTAATAGATAGAAATATAGATCCGTATGACGCAATTGGGACTTTAATTAACAGAGCCGTAGAGCATATTGATAGGAACAAAAAAGTCAAAGGAACCGTGCCTCATGGGAATTTGTAAAGAACGCCCACTAGGGAACGTCCCGGGCTACTAGTATACTATAGTCTATTATTAATGTATTTTTTCATACTTTTCGGTTATCCGACCAACCCGAGTCCCCAATTGAGTCGGATAATCGATGCTCTACTGTATTCTGTTTTAACAGATTTTCAAAAATAAATTTTCTATCTCATGATTCTGAGGAACAAAAAAAAAATCATTAACCATTCACAAAATACTCTCTCAAGTTTAACAATTGCATGGAGTAACTTTGTAGCTGTGTTTTATCAACACAGACATAAAACTAAATATAAATATAAAATAAAAAGTTTATTATACTCCATTATATCAAAATCTATTTTTAATAAATATTAGTGTGTCATTTCATTAATGTTTCATGCACAATTTTATAAAAAAAATTTTACATTCTTACGAAGAATTCGATGAGCTTTCTTCTGATAAGATAACTTCGACAGGCTGTTTTTTACTTGTATCTGATTTATCTGATTGTTGCTTGGATCTTTTTCTTGTAAGAATCTTTTTCTTCTGATCCGATCTTTTCCTTTTGTTTTTCGGCTCATCTATAGTATCATTCTTTCCCGGAAGCATCTTTTTCACTGCTTTTTGAAGCCTTTTACTTGGGAAAAGATTCTCCTTTTTGTTTAATTGAATAGTAAAAAAGCTGTCAATTCTTGTTTGCATCTAAATAAATTGATACAATGTATTAAGATTAATGGTCATATTTAATAATAATAATTATGAAATTTATAATTACCTGATTTTCATTAATTTTCTTCATAACAGGCAATAGTATTTCATTAACCTTTTTCAAGCTCCAACCAAATTTTTCTTCCGCAAACTTACAAACATTAAGGAATTAGAATAAGAATATTACGTAATTTTTGTTTGGAAATTAAATCAATTGAAAATAATAGCTTTTTAATTCTACATTGGCATATTCAATTATACTGAATCTATATTTTTATTTCAATAGCATAAAAACGCACAGACAGACCATATAATGAAATTTTTAAATTACTTGCCTTCTCTAATAGTTTTATTACCACTAATATGGATAATTCAAAGATTTCTTGAAAAACAATTTTACATTTCATTTTCAAATAGAGATTTAAAACATCATCAAAACCAATCATCATTTATATCTCATATATATATACAGTATATGTAAAAATATATATGAATAGTTGAAATTATCCTTTGATCCAAAATGCTTATTATAAATTAGTTTTATATACAATGTCCTTAAATTTCAAAGAAATGTCTCAATGATACTACATATTTGTTATAAAATACAATAATATACAGTAATCGCTCCACTTACATAAATTCAATTTAATATGGCTGAAAAATTTTTAAATTTTAAATTATCAACTTTATGGAAATAAATGCTAGTTACATAAAAAAAAATGTATTTTCTGTTATCGGTAACATGTCATACAAACATATAAACAGAAAAAAAAAGGAAAAAATTCTTTACATAGAAAATGTGTTAATTAGATAATCTTAATTCTATTGTTATGAATTATTTTCTTTTCATTTTACTTTATAAAGGATATTCTCTAAGACTGTCAAGGTCAGGATGACCCCATGAAAAAGATTCTGCAGACTGGTCAATAGCAGGGTTAATGTATGCATTATACACAACGCTGCTTGGAAATCCTTCACTTAGTTCCAATTTTTGTAACTTCACTAATGTAGAATTTTTTGGCAGTTCTTTGCCATGTTGAAACCCTTCCCACCATTTTCTATTTATAAAAAAAAAAAATTTTAATTTTCAATTGTTCCAAATTTTAAGAATATTTCCATATAATTTCCATAGAATAGTCCCATATAAAGAATATTTCTTTATATATTACCTAAAATTCTGAAGAGATTCTAAACCATTTCCAGGAAATTCACTCAAGATTTCCATGGCAGTTACTGGACCAACACCACGTATGCCTTGAGTGTAGTCACTTCCAGTCAGCAAGGCAAATGCAATTAACTTATCTCGATCCATATCTAATGAAAAAAAAACAAATTAATAAATTTTGTTTTAAATATTAATCTTTCACATTATCAATATTAAACTTATATCAATATATTGAAATAAATATATCACTTTTCATGAAAAATTATAATGAAATGCATCTAAGAGATGATTAAAATGATTTTTAACTATAATTAAATCAGTTTTACAAAACAAATTTTAAATCAATTTAATTTATTACAAAGTTCATCAATTTACAAATTATGTGTAAATTTTTGGAATTCAATTTTCATTGATTCAAAATGTAGCTTTAAAAAGACAAAAATAAAATCTATGCTTTGTCATAATAATAATAGTAAAACTTAATGACATTTGAAACAATTTGTAATGGTTTTTATTATGTATAGTTTGCTATAATTTAATGACATCAAATTACAGAATATCATCTAGAACAGTGGTTCTCATAATTACGATGATCTATGGACCACCAGTGTCTGCAACTTTGTGCCAAATGATCCATACATTGACCCAGTCATTTTTCCAAAATGCAATTTTATGCTGTTAAAGCAGAGGAAAGAACATTTTCATGCATTGCATCTCTTTTACATTAGGCTATCAGACAGACAAAATATTTTGGGACACATCTAAAATGATAATTACGGAATAAAAAGTGAACAGAGACATAAGTGGTCCACCAGTCAAATAACTGATGAGAATTACTGATCTAAAATACTGATTATATCAGAACTTTATCAGTATATATTAATATAATTAACTCAAATTTATCAATATAAATTGAGAATAGTTGTAGAAAATTAAATTCATTTATAAAATATATTGACATTTATAAAATATATGATATTATTAAATATTGTACATTAAACATTGTTTTCACAAAACACAAGACAACTTTTTCCTAGAAGAGAATCATCTTTAGTTTTCTCTTAATTTCAATTAATATTTATTTCTTGTAGTGTTTTTGTTTTAGTAGTCAAAAGTTATCTGATCTTTGATAATTGAAAATTAAATTTCATATGGAATGTTTCAGAAAGAAATTTTAGACAATGTCTTCACAAAAGTATTTTCTCTTTCTTAAATCTCCAATACAAAGTTAAATTAAAAAATTACTACTTTACTAAAACAAAAAAGCCATGCAAAATTTTATTTATCAATTTGGCTTCTCAAGCATTTCTCATCAATTTTAATAACAGCTAAAAAAATTAAGTCATTTTTAAAGTCAATTGATTTTTGTTTATTTAACTCCATTATAGTTTAAAGTAAATATTCATGCATTATTATTTTAAGAAAGTAAGAATAACCATTAATAAAATCAGAATTTTGATTATAAAATGACCAAAGCAGATGTTCAACATGAAATTTTGAATTAATATCAATAGTTGAAAGATATTTACAATCAAAAACATTGCTATGAGAATATTCTTCAGTAGCAAATTTTTGTTTATTTTAACCCTCTCTACCTTATTCCTGGTTATTGAGAATTTCAGAAACTCTCAACCAAATTCCCAGTATAGCAAGAATGGAAAACGTCCAAGTTTAAATAACATCAATGACATCAAGCTAAAATCAACAAATCAGAGCAAATAAATGTTGTAAAAGTGATATTATTATTTATTAGTGATAGCCTCATTTTATCACAATTTCATTGCATTTCTTATTTGAATTACTTTAACTACAGTTGGAACATGTAGTTAAAGTAAGAAATGCTAAAATCAGCCAATTAGTTATATTGTGTGTGTGGTATTATCATTATTTCACACACTAAAAATGTGCAGTAGCAACCTTCACTTAGTGAAGAAAACAGACACATGAATCTGTGACATGATCACTCTTCATTAAAAATAAGAGGCTCTTGAACTTTATAGAACTTCCAGAGTTCCAACCAATTATCACATTGCTCTGCCAAAGCATACAAAATGATTTTTACACACAATTTTTTGAGTGTATGTTCTATAATTTAATGTTAGTAAATTAAATGTTTTTATAAACTATTATGTTTTCAATGTTTATACATATTCAACTGTTAAATTTTATAATAAATTTTTAAAAAATTCCATTATAACATTAATTTAGTTAATTAACTAAGTATTAATAGTCAAAACTTATCAGAATACCTAAATAAATAAATTTCAAATACAGAAAACACATTTTTTAATGTTTATAGTTAATATAAAGTTTTCTTAATTTAAAATTCACCCATTAATTAAGTATCCTAGTCATCCAACTTAACCTTATTAAATTACTTATTTTTAAATATATGAATTCAACTATACTTACTAAAATGTGATTTGATATCATTATGTCTAAAAAATTCTACATGTTTTTTCTGAACAAAAAAATTTTTGTACACTTTCTGTCCACCAAACAACCATATATCACTGTCATCTGTAATTGTTCCATTTGTAAGTGACAAAATTTCCAATTGGGCGCATTGTGCTTCTGCTTCTGCAGGGCTATTGACGTAAGGAATTCCAAATAATGTTAATAATTCCTACAGTTTTATATAAAAAAGATAGTTCAAAAACATGTTGAAAAATTAAGTATAAAATATAAAAAAAATATACAATATATAATTTAACATAATTTGTTTTGGTCACAAAATGAAACCAAACAATTTTATAAGGATTTAATTACAATTATTAAATTTAATAAGAGATGGCACCAAATGCCTATCTCTAGTACCAAATTACTCAATATTTAATTATTAATAATAGTGGTAAAGTAACCTGATTTAAACCCTGCAATTGTCTGGAAACACATACTTAAATTTTATTTGAGATTAACAAACTTTATATTTTAAGATTAAAGAGTAAATGTTGTTTGAATATACTTAAAAGTTTTGTAAATTAATTTTAAAAATGTTGTTTATAAAAGTATCATGATGTTAATAGATGTAAATTAATTTTAAAAATGTTGTTTATAAAAGTATCATGATGTTAATAGATGTAAATGAATAGATAAATATTTACTTTTGTTTCTTGATACATATGTTCAGTTACAGTTAATGTTCTTCTATATTGACTTTGTTGTTCAGATTGTAACAATTTCAGATTTGCTTCCAATTCATCCATATTTTCCTAATCATCAAAAATGTAAAGAAAAAATTAATCATATTCATATTGTATATTAATAAACAAAAATTCAGTACTTGCAAAATCAATTGACATTTCCCATTCATCCTTTTGTTCTTGTTCAACATTTTCAGTTGAAGATTTATTAATTACTGCATCAGAAGACAAATTGTCATTTGTTACAGACAACTTGGACATTTCCTTTCCTTCAACATGTTCACCTATTTCACTAAAATGTTCTTCAAACATAGATGCAGGAAATAATTCATCATCCACTGTAGGTGGCTTATTTATATCAATTGTGATAACAGTTGGCGATTCCTCACCTATATGAGATTCTTAAAAACAATTACAATCATTATTATATATATAAAACAAATTCTTTGTAATAAAACAACAATTGAAAATACCTTTAACAGCTTTAGAAGTTTCTATTTTAATGTAATTATCTTGATTTTGTTTGCTACTGTTGTCAAGTACTTTATCAACTTTTGTATCATTTGAAATAATAGAAATTTCATTTTTCTCATCTGTAAAACAGCTATCAAAAGGTTTATTAACATTCTCTCTCTCTTCACAAAAATTAAATTTTGATTGCGATTCTGCTATTATTTTGTCACCATCATCATCTAATCTATCCTGAATAGTTATTACAGGAACATCTGGTTTTGAAATATCCTGATCATCTACTTTATCCATAATATTCAATAAAACTTCTTTTTCCATGATTTTATGTTGGATATTATCATTACTTATGCTTTCTGTATTAACACTCATTTTATCTAATGATGTAGAATGTTGAATATTAGATTCACCTATAGATGTTTTTGTTTCACTGTCAATTTTTGACATTTCAACTTCTTTTTTATCTTCAATAACAGAAAGGTCTGCAATTTCTATATTACTTGATTTTGATGTACTTTCATAATTTTTAACATCATCTATTATAGCTATTTCATTTGAATCTCTGTTGTTTAGTAATTGATTTGAATCATCAGTAGGTAGTCCACTACCAGAAACTTTAGACTGCTTTAAAAGTATAAAATGTGAATTTTCTTCAGACATTATACGTCTTCCTTCCGCTATTTCTTCTTCCTCTTCTAAATCTAGATATAGTAACTGCATTTCCTTAATGGATCCAGCACTTCTCTGACTCATTGTTTTCCGTACGTCCTCCAACTTCTGTTGAATTTTTCTTCTGTTCAGAAGTTGGGCTACTTGATAGTTGGAAAATTCACCAGAATTCTAAATATGAAATATAAATTAGTGAAATTTTCACATATAATATACAAAATTAATTTAGTTTAATATATATTAAAAAATCAACTTCAGGTATTTCTTCTTGCTCTAGCCAGCATTTTCTCTTGTAACGTTCTTTAATTTCAGTTAGTAATTCATGTTGTATATCCAGTGGTAACATTTTAAAGTCGTCTGTTTCAAAATTGATGGAAAAGGGATTTTGAAAGTGCATTTCAATAGAAGGGTGGTAACTTTCAAATTCATCATCACTATCATCTCTGAAAATTTAAAATTTTAAAGGATTTTATATAAAAAAAAAAAGTAAAATAAAAAAAATTAGCAAAAAGAATAGATAAATAGAAATTATTTTTATCTAACTTTATTTCTATTTACCTCTCTATTTTTTTTTTCTTTATCTTATATTTATTTTCATTTATCTTTAAAATAAATAATGCTATTAAATCATATTTCAGAACATTAAAATAAAAATAAAAAATACTATAGCAACAAAAACATTGACATGTTTTTTTACATTCTTTAAAGTTGTTCTGGGATTTCATTGATGGTATTCATATATCATCTCTAATGATTCTATTTTGCCAGTTAAACCCTTTATCTAGACTTCTAGAGTATAAAATTTCTTTCTTTCTGTTAGAAAAACCATGCTCTATGTAGACTGAGTTGGGATATATAAGGTTATAAATTTTGTTCCTTAGATACCTCTTATCTTAGAAACAAAATTTATATATAAATCATAAAAATGTGATGATGGCAGGATATTTATAAATAAAGCAAAAAATGCCCAATATAAGCTCTAGGGAAAGGTTCCCAATATATCAATAATTTCATCTCTTAGACAGACATTAGTTAATTAACAAAATGGCCCAGGAAGTTTTGAAAAGTGGTCATATATTCCTGACACAATCTACAGCAACAAAACTTTCAAGCAAATAAGTAACTTCATCCTTTGATAAGAGCTCCTCTAAGTGGCAAAATGGAATTTCTAGAAAGATAAAATATATACCTGTAAGGAAATATAAGAATATCTTTGGATAATGACAAATAACTCATATGACCAATTCAATCCATGGTAAGTCAAGGCAACATAGGTTTATCCCCAGATATTGGATTATATTAAAAAATAGGTACTAGTAGAAATGTAGTGTGTGTACTACTAGTCATCTCAAAACACTTTTGAACAATGGTGAAAAATAGCTTTGAATTTTTTTCAACTAAATCTAAAGAATGAAAAACATGATTTCATTCTTTAACGGATCAGTAACAAATGTGCAAATGTCAAATGGATGAAGCAGGAAATACTGTAGTTTATATTCTAGCATGAGTCAGTTTATGAGGTTGGAGTTTCATGTGATATCATTTAACTTCTGGAAACAGTCACAAAAAAATATAAACAGTGAATAAAATGTGTTGGGAATGCGAAACTAAAGCAAGTATCGATGTCATAAAATTGCACACGGACTGGCAACACTCTGCTAAGAGAGCACGAGGCAGGAAGAAAGCTGTTGTTCTGTTGGCACCAAAGTTATGGATGTACTAACAAGTATATATAGCCTTAGATAAAATAAAGTTCAGATATAAGTTAAAGGATTGCATCATCATTGCCCCAATAATGGTTATGGATGGTTATGGACCTAGGAATGGAAAATTAAGTATCGAAAGCTAGAGTTACAGGATCTAAAAGGAAATAGAATTATAAAGCCTACAAAAGAAAAATGGCCAGTCAACTAGCTATACAAATAGGACCACTGTGTAAAGAAAACTTCGATACATGGAAAATACAGATGAAGGCACTCTTAATCAAAAATGATTCCTGGGAATATGTCATCAGAAAAAGAAAGAAACCAGAAGTTTTACCTAGAGACAAAAGTACAAAGATGGTGGCAGAACAATGGGACACAGCAGACTCAAAGGCAATGTGTGATATAATTCTCACCATAAGCCGCACAGAATTAAAACAGACAAAAGGATGTGAAACCTTACACGAAATATGGAATAAGCTACATGAAATCTTCAAATCAAAAGGTCCTGTAAGAAAGGCTATGCTACTAAAGAAATTAATTCTCAAGAAAATGAAGGAAGGAGACAACATGGCAGATTATGTAAGAGAATTTTTCTATACAGTAAATAAGTTAAAAGAAATGGAAATCTCCATAAATGAAAACTATTGACAGTAGTACTGCTATATAGTATACCGGACTCATTCGAACAATTTAGAATTGCTATAGAGACACAAGAGAAACTTCTTTCACCAGACATACTCAAAATAAAGCTAATAGAAGAGTATGAGGCACAAAAATGAAATGATGATGCTGATGACTAAGTTTTCAGATACACTTTATATAAACAAATTACAGATGAAACAATTGGAAAATAAGGGGCCATTCAAATTCAAATGCCATAACTGTGGCAAAATAGACCATAAAGTGAGAGAATGCTGGGATAGAAACAAGCGAAAGCCATTTAGAGCTACGACTATAAGCCTAACAACACAAAAACAGCAGTCATATAGTGCTAGTATTATGTCAAATGAAGGAAAAGAAAATGGTGTCTAGACTCAGGCGCTCCATCACACATGTGCAATGATAAAGCAAGATTTTCTAATGTCGAAACATTCCATGTAAATGAATTAAACTTAGCCAACTCATCTACAATGGAAATCAAAGGAAGTGATGATGTAATAATTGAAACAAAAGGAGGATTTCAAGCCAAATTAGAGAACACACTTCTCATACCAGAACTAAGGACCAACCTACTGTCAGTTGGGATGATAACTGATCATAGATTCAATGTACTATTCCAGAAGAATTAGGCAACTATTATGGATCCAAAAACCAAAAGCATACACATGCAAGCATATAAAGGAGGAGGACTATACTATGTGAAAGAAAGGTGGGAGGAATCTAAACTCTCAAACAAATGTCAATGAAATGAAAAGGTGGCACAAACGTTTAGGTTACTTAAATGAAAAGGACGTATGGCATATGGCCAACAACTTAAAAGCCAGAGAACTGATCATAAGACGAAAAGAACTCGACCCCTGTGAAATCTGCATAAAAGGGAAACAAACCAGGTCACCATTTCCGAAGCAAAACGAAAAGAGATGCAGAGAAATATTGGAACTGATTCATACTGACATTTGTGGATCAATGAGAACCCAATCATTGAGTGGATCGAAATATTTCATCACGTTTATTGATGATCATTCTAGATGGTGAGAAATATATTTCATGAAAAACAAAAGTGAACTCTTGAGAAATTCAAAACATACTTAGCCTTTGTAGAAAATAAAACAGGAAGAAAGATAAAAGCAATAAGAAGTGACAACGGAACTGAGTATACTAATAGAAAATTTCAGAACTTCCTGAAACACATAGGGATTAGACATGAGAAAACAGCCTGTTACGCACCACAACAAAATGGCATTGCAGAGAGAAGAAATAGAACACTAGTGGAAATGGAAAGATGCATGCTACTCCAAGCAGAACTGAAAGAATGTTTTTGGGCAGAGGCTGTATGTACTGCATCATATATTAGAAATAGATGTCCATCGAAGAGCCTGGAAGGCGACATATACCTTTCAAATTATGGAATAGCAGAATGCCAACGTTAAAACATTTTAGGACATTTGGTCAGATGGCATTTGCACTAGGAAAGAAACCAGGAAAAGGAAAATTTCATGAGAAATCCACCAAATGCATTTTATAGGCTACTCTAGTGAAACAAAGGCATATCATCTGTGGAACACGAAAACAAAAAGAGTCATAGCAAGTAGAGATGTCAAATTTATCAATGAATTCCCAAATAACTCAAGGGACAATATCAAAATGACTGAAAATGACAGATCCCATGGAAGAAAAAAACTAAATAATAAAGAAGTGGAATTAGATATCCTTGAACCTGCTAAGGAACAAGCATCTACAACTCGAAGAAAACACTTTATCAGAAAATGAAGACGAAAATGAAACAAATGAGAATGAAAATGAGCAGAGTAATAAACTGATAGGAGCAAATGGTAGACCATGAATCACTCAAACAGGACAGAGGGGGAGACCCAGAAAAGAATATAGAATGAAAACCATAGAAGAATCTGCCACAATTGGTGAAAAGATAGTCAAGGACAATATAGAGCCTATGACATATGAAGAAGCCATGGAAGTGAATGATTCAGCCAGATGGCAGGCGGCCATGGAAGAAGAAATAGAATCCCTGAGAAAACAAATTATGGAAAGCTAGAGTTGAGAAGTTGTCATGTCAGAAGACAAATGTAAATGGATAAATGTGAATAAACTCTTAGGAAATAAAGGTGATATACATCTTCCAAAGGATGTCGCACCATCAAGGGGAGCCTATATTAATTAGTACTAGGCAAAGATTATTGCAATTAGTGGATGATATCGAAGTAGTTACCAAAGAACTATTAGAAAACATTGGATCAGCAGGATTACTGGAAGAACCCATTATCGTCAAATGGAACAACCAAGCAGCAATAGGACACACCAAAAGTTATGTGACAAACGGTAGAACCAAACATATAGCTGTAAAGTATCATTTCATTCGAGAGAAGGTCACTGATGGAACAATACGAGTGGAGTATACAGACTATAAGAACAAAACCACTTGGAACTGAACCTTTCCTGATCCACCATGAACACATAACTAGTGAAGAGAACACTAAGTAAACATAGAGTCTCTTTGAGAGGTGGGATTGTTGAGAATACAAAACTAAAGTGAGTATTGATGTAAAACTGCACATGGCAACACTCTGCTAAGAGAGCACAAGGCAGGAAGAAAGCTGTTGTTCTGTTGGCACCAAAGTTATGGATATATTAACAAGTATATATAGCCTTAGATTAAAATAAAGTTCAGTTATAAGATAAAGGATTGCCTCATCATTGCCCCAACAAATGTCACAAGCTAAATAAATAAATTGACAATTTAGAACAATACAATTTAAAAACATCTGAATTTGTGTGAAAGCAAAAATAATAATAATAATGATAATACATGCATTGTTATTATTATTATTTTTTTTTTACCTAAATCAAAAAATAAAATGATATATTTACTATTACATTAAAGAAAAAAATTCTCAAAAATAAATTTAAAATTTTATATTTACTAAAAAATTAAATAAAATGTTATCGACCAAAATCTTAAACAAATTAACTCACCAATGTTTGCTTCTTTAATTCAGGAGGATGGCCATCAAATACAAAAATTGGCTTAATTTTATAAAATAAAAGTTTACAAA